CCGTGCATAAGGTTGAGAACGCGTGTGACCACAAGGTGAAGACATTGAGGACGGATCGTGGTGGCGAGTTCTTGTCAAAGGAGTTCACCAAGTTTTGTGAAGACTACGGCATCAAGCGTCATCTCACTGCACCGTACACCCCGCAACAAAACGGTGTAGTGGAGAGGCGTAACCGCACGGTGATGGACATGGCGAGAAGCCTACTTAAGAGCATGCATATGCCTGGAACCATGTGGGGCGAAGCGGTGAGGCACGCGGTGTACATCCTCAACCGACTACCAACCAAGGCGTTATACGATCACACTCCCTACGAAGCTTGGTTTGGTAAGAAACCCCACCTAGAACACTTGAGAGTTTTTGGATGTATGGCGCATGTGAAGATTGCAGGTCCTTCGCACAAGAAACTCGACGACCGGAGCACGCCAATGGTGTATATTGGGGTAGAAGAAGGAAGCAAAGCACATCGCCTCTACGACCCTCAACACGGCAGAATTCATGTCAGCAGGGATGTCGTGTTCGAGGAAGGAAAAGAATGGCAATGGAGCGCAGATGGAGACGTAGAACCACTCAGCTGGGTAGAGTTCGCAGCGGAAGGGGACTCAACAGCGGGCGGCACAGCAGCCGGCGCAGCAGCCGGTGCATCGCCTGCAGTCCAAACTGGACAGCAGGCAGTCCGGTTTTCTGGACAGCAGAAAGTCCAGTTTGGACTGCCAGCAACCGGCCAGAACAGCCCACAAATTGGTGCTGGTCCGAGTACAGTCATTGCAGCAGCAATCCCCGCCGTATTGGAGCCGACGAGAGGCCAATCTGGGCAGTTTTCAGACCGAACAAAACAACCTGCAGCTGGCCGAGATAGTCCACAGTCTGCTGCAGGTTCAGGATCTGCTGCAGAAGTAGCAAGCCCCACTGCATTGGAACTGTCCGGACCTCCTGAAGCTGCAGTGATGACTCCTGTACGCTACCGATCCCTTGCGGACATCTATGCGGAGACGGAGGTGATTGATCTCCCTGCAGAGGAGTTGTTCCTGATCACTGAAGAACCTGTGAACTATCTCGAGGCCGCATCAGATCAAGAATGGCGGACTGCCATGGAGAAGGAAATGGAGGCCATCGAGAAGAACAAGACTTGGATACTCACGGAGCTACCGCGAGGTTCTAAACCCATTGGTCTCAAATGGGTGTACAAGCTGAAGAAGGACAATGAAGGCAACATTCTCAAGTACAAAGCAAGACTTGTAGCAAAAGGGTACGTCCAGCAGCAAGGCGTGGACTTCGATGAGGTGTTTGCACCTGTGGCGAGGCTTGATACCATCAGAATAATCCTCGCTATATCAGCACAGAACGGGTGGGAGGTGCACCATTTGGATGTGAAGTCGACATTCCTAAATGGTGATCTCCAGGAAGAAGTGTATGTGGTTCAACCTGAAGGGTTCGTTGTGAAGAATCAAGAGCACAAGGTCTACAAGCTTTCAAAGGCACTCTACGGTCTACGCCAAGCACCTCGGGCATGGAACACGCGCCTCGACAAGTGCATGAAGGGCATCGGATTTGCAAGATGTACTCAGGAGCAGGCGGTATACACCATGAGTAACAGAGGGGATACACTCATTGTTGGCGTGTACGTGGACGACTTGATCGTTACGGGCTTGAGGGCGGATGAGATAAAGTTTTTCAAGCAACAAATGATGAAGGAGTTCGAGATGAGTGACCTTGGTTTACTTTCCTATTATCTTGGCATCGAGGTGGATCAGCGAGATGATTGTATTGCACTAAGGCAGGCGGCCTATGCGAAGAAGGTTTTGGGTCAGTTCGGCATGATGGATTGCAACCCGACGCAATATCCTATGGAAACAAAGCTAAAGCTTGGAAAGGATTCCGAAGGAACACCGGTGGACGTGACGGAGTATAGACGGATTATCGGATCTTTGAGGTATCTAACTCACACCCGACCCGATATCACATATGCCGTGGGGATTGTGAGTAGGTACATGGAGCACCCTACAGTTTTGCATAGACAGGTTGTCAAGCATATTTTGAGGTACGTGAAAGGTACTATGTCCTACGGATTGGTGTACAAACGAGGTCGAGGCAATAAAGAGTTGGTGGGATTCACTGACAGTGATCTTGCGGGAGATGTTGATGACAGGCGCAGCACAGACGGCATGGCATTTTATCTAGGTGACAGTTTGGTCACTTGGACATCACAGAAGCAGAAGACGGTGGCATTATCATCCTGCGAGGCAGAATTTATGGCGGCAACTGCAGCAGCGTGCCAAGGCTTGTGGTTGAGGAGTTTGATTAGCGAATTAATTGGGAGTGAGCCCAAGTCGGTTACACTTTTTGTCGATAACAAGTCCGCAATTGCCTTGATGAAAAATCCAGTTTTCCATGGAAGAAGCAAGCATATCGACACACGTTTTCACTTCATTCGTGAGTGTGTTGAGCGAGGACAGATTAAAGTGGAGTTCGTAAGCACGAGCGAGCAACGAGCAGATATTCTCACGAAGGCACTAGCAAGGGTGAAGTTCATCGAGATGCGAGAACTGCAAGGAGTAAGGGACTTGGAATCTCGTCCAGATTAAGGGGGAGAATGTGAGTTGTTAATCTGGTAGGATTGTTAGATAGAGTTCTAATTGTAGAAGAATACTAGTTAGGATAGGTTTCCTAGGTATTGGATAAAGATTAGAGTTGTAATCTTATCCCTATCTCTCTATATATATATGTAAACAATCTATGTAAAGAAGTAGAACGAAAATAAGAAAGTGGAAAATTTCTCCACCGAAAGAAAAGCTCTCTGTTCTCCCCTTCTCTCTCTGTTTTTCGGTTGCTACAGTATTTCCTGCAGTTTCTGTTTTCCTGCAGTCTCTCCATCTTTAACAATTCGGTCACTTCCAAGCTGTTACATCCCTTGTGATTGCAAGTAAAGAAGCTTAGGCCGATCCTATCCAAAGCCAACAGTGTGTTGGTTCAATCTTCAAACAATCAAGAGACCACGGGACAGTTTGAGAGATCAAAGCGAGCGCTAGTACCAGACAACTTGGATTGCAATGTAAGCATTAGAGGATGATAATATAATTAAGCAAAAGGTTTAAAGTGAAAATGCGACGACGCATTAGTGATTGAGGTGGTTGTTGAAGGGCACAGAATAATCAGTACCTCTATCTGTCCCCCCGCCGTATGGACTAAAACATGACATTGCCGGTGACCTTCGTGTACGTTTAAATTAATTTATTTATTTATGCTCATTAATGTACCTGCCGTCAATTTTATCGTTTAGATTATCTTTAATTTTGATGATCTCATGTATATATATAATAGTGTATATGCATGCATCTGGGTGCAAAAATAACCTGAGTCTATTTTGGTGTATGTATTCCTTTGGTTTTTTTTTTTTTTTTTTTTTTTTTTGAAGCTGAGGAGGGGATTTGTTTGTTCCCATGATCGACCACTATACTCTGCGGCTGAGCACTATGATTATGATTTGCAGTGTTAAATAAATTTTGCTGCTTAATTTTGGACCTTCAACTTATGTCATACTGGATCCACAGGACTTATAAAAAAGGCACTTTGTCTCCCCCGTTGAAAAGGCGATTTTCATAATTATCAGAAATCACTGTGTCTTAATTATTTGGGTTTTAGCCTCGATCTTCTTCCACCCTTAATTGTGGCTTGTGGCTTGCGATAGAAACTGCAGAATTTATGCCTGTGTTTATGTCTGTGTCATCCGATGGTGAGTTCGATTATTTAACTATATATTTTGGGAGATTGATGGATAGATTAGGCAGGTGATCGAATGCAGTAAAATAAAAGACACGTAAATTATGTAGTTGAGGATATCGTGTCTCCGACACGAACGCGTAGGCCATCACTGAAAGCCCACTGAGTTGGGGAAGATAATGCAGGTAAACAGACTTTATTTTTTTTTCTTACTATTTTTATTTTCCATTTATTTCTACTTTCAAATTAAGAACTTGTTTGATAGAAAGGGGGCGGTGAGGTCGTTGTATGTTAGTACTCGATAGATAAGAGGGGGGGTGTGACTGTGATGGGAACAGAATCTCTTGGTTGTTGAAGGAATTGTCGCCGTCCGTGTGCGATCACGTCAAGAAAGGCTTGTTACCGGCGTCAAGGCCACGATGGGCCCCCCCACCCATGATTCTGCTGTCTTGCGTCGATCTTTCTGCTGATGCGTTTTTACACTGCCCCTGCCCCTGGGCCTGGGCCTGGGCCTGGGCCTCCTTTCCCTCCTCGTGTGTGTTCCTGAGCGTCAAGGATGTACGGCGAGAGGACGAACTAAAAAGAGTTCACAAAGGTGGGGTGTGGGGGGATCACAGCGGGTTTAACGGAGTACAGAAGATGCTTAATTAGCTTTAGGAGTTGGATCCAGGTTTTTTTTTTCTCCTCCTTCCAATTTTAGATGCCAATTACTCCACGCCTTACCGTCTACTCCGATTACTCAACCGACTTTAAGGAACCCTTGAGCATTAAACTTTAATTTTTTTTAAAAATTGAACAAGTAGAAGGAATGGTTTGCGAGAGTGTTACAAATGGAGATAATATCGAAGTTCACACATTTATACTTGTCGAATCAAGTTGGTACAGACCGAGCCCTTTTTGCTAGAGACCCATTATTCTTTGTTTTTTGCGGGGGGCAATAAGAAAGACTAACAACTTCTAGATATATTTCACATATACACACAATTAATTTACTAAAAACCACTCATCCATGAGACATTTAATTTTTTAACAGTCTCAAAAAAAAAGGGCTCAGCTCCTTACTTCCTGAACCCCGACCCCTCTTTTCCTCTCAAGGTCCTCGCAGGCAAAGGTCACCGGAACAATCGCATATGTAGTGAAAAAAAAAAAATAAAAGAATTTAAATAGTGCCATGTCAGCACAAAGAGTGCAGTAGGTGGCTGTTCGACGTCACGGTAGCGGGGTGGCCGTGGTGGCCGGGACGTCGCTCGGTGTTCCACAGCATGCTTAATCATGAACGGTTCCGCACGCACGCTCTCCTTTCTTTCTTCTGTCTTGTTCTTTGATTAGCTCGCTTGACGCCCACTCGATCCTTTCCCCGTTGGTCTGCTGCGATATTTTCTTCCCCTTAAACATGACGGACTCTACGCATCGCTGCGACAGTGCCGTTTCAGCTGCGGACGCCGGGCTCTGAGCTTCGGCTTTTGTTTCCGAAATGATCCCATTTGCCTGGAAACACGTACGATCGAAAAAAAAGTTAAAATTTTTAATTTACTAAAAAAAACAACAACGAAAGTTACAAGCTTCGTCGTATCCGGTCATGGTAAGCCTAATTAATTATCAGGCGGCGGCGAATGGGGTGGGGGAAGTAGGTTACCTGAATCCGGACGTAGTAGGTTGAGCTGTTCTGTCCGAACGCCATCGCAACTGATTGATCCACCGCATCGATTGTTCCTTCACCGGCGATCCTCGCAACCTTCGCTGCCGATTTTCAGCGCCTCCGAGCTCCCCAGGGACACCACCAACAGGTCCTCCGCCCCGTCGGCGAAGGGGAACTCCCTCTTGTTGTTAAGCACGTGCGTGATTGCAGCCGCCGTCGGATTCCCCATCCCAACCCCCCCTCCCATCGCCTTGATCCCAGTCCTTCCGTCCACCGACTCCACCTCCGTCGCCCGATCGGCGCAGGTCGCGGCGCAGACGTCCTTGATGAGGAAGTTAAAGCCGTCGGACTCCACGGCGTCGGACCTCGAGAACATGAACGCCGACCCCGTCAACAGATCGAAGCACGAGACCAGCAACGGCTTTATAGAATCCTGCCTAAGGCACGCGTCCCCGAACAGCTTCTTGAACTTGCTGCTTGATTTCGACGAGCCGAACAGCTTGCGAAATCTCCCGCTTCTCTGAAACATCTTTCGGTTTTTGGCTAGGAATTTGAAGGACTCCTCGGCGGTGAAGAGAGGGCGGCCGTCCTGGCCCCGGGTGAAAAGCATGGCGGCGAGGACGCCGCCGGCTCCTGAACCGGCGGCGACGTCGAAGTAGTCGGCGCACGGACGGCGCGAGGGATCGAGCGACTGTTTCTTGAGGAGCGGTTTCGAGGCGCGAGAGGAGGAGGGCGGCGAGGCTCTCCGCCGTCCGCGGGCCGCGAGTCGATGGCGAGAGAATGCGGACTCTGCCGGAGGAGGGCCGGGCTGTAAGGGCACCTTTTGAGGCAGGACGGTGAGTCCTGTGGGCGAGCCTTTGAGGAGAGTGAATTTCGGATTCGGTAGGATGCGAGAATACTCGCTAGCCTGAGTTGTCCATGTCCCAACCTCTGTCACTAAGGAAGCCATTTCTTCAAAAGTTTGATCTTTTTTTCTTAGGGTACGTTAGAAGAAGAGAGATCGCAGAAGGAAAGAGAGTGCCGCCCCGCCGCCGCTGCTGCTGATCTAATTAATTTGCGGGAACACACGGGGGTGGGGGTTTGTGTGCTCCTTGGAGGCTCTTTTCATCCCAGGGAACCCCCGGCTTATAAATAGTTGAGGATGATCGAACGCAGTTGGCGTAAGTTTAGCGGAGCCAGGTCGCGCACGTTAGCCTCAGCTCGTGGCCCAAATGTTAGCCGGGGGGAGATTGTTGCCATCGAGCTTCCGACAAAACTGCTGCTGTAGCTCTTTGACGACGGGATAAAAGACGAGTTTGCCCTCACGCGCACGGTCGCACGGATATCCGGCTCACCGTAGCAGAAAGCACGGGCCTCGACATGGACGAGAATAACCCCGTACATTTGCTGAAATTCCCTTCGAGTAAAACGTCGGCGGACGCGACGAGGTTTGCGCACGCTCGGACCACACGTGCTGGCCTCGGTGGCCTCTGACTCGTGTACCTCAAGCGAAATGGACGGAAATGCCCTCTCAGGATGCGGGAGCTTTTGGGAAAATAACGCGGAGAGGGG